CACAACATATTAAATTTTATTTAAAATATATAATTTTTTGTTCAGATTTTATGAGGATTTAGTAATTTCAAATTTAATAAAGTGTATTTTTTAAAACTTAAAAAAGGTATTTTTTAAATTGAAGAAGCCAAACGACATATTTTTCCTACGCGATTGTATTATTACAAGCCTAAGAATGGTCTAGACGCCTATTATTTTGTTTTATTCTCACTTTCTCACTCCTTTATGCATGCATCTATGTTAACATACTCCAAGCGTACATTCTTAAGTAAATCACATGCGTATATAATAATTTTCTTTTAATTTTATGCCAAGATATCGTCTAAACAAACCAAAAAAAAAAAAGAAGATGTTTCAGGCCATTCAAAACATTTCGATAAAATTGGAAATTAAACAAAGAGATACATTTAGCAAATGCAACCTTTCTGCATAATGACAAGGTTCGAGTCCGGTTTGATGTTGTAGTCAGCTATGGTGCGAGTGTTTTCGAGCTTCGTTCCATGATAGTTTAGATCCAGCTTGTGCAGTCGTGGTCCACCTTGATCATGGATCATGGTCTTGACTTTCTTAATGGTATCGGACCCTTTCACCTCTAGGTTAAATGTTTTTTCCTTGACAGTCGATACAAAAATCCTCATCACTGCATCCGGATCCGGACCTAGACGAAGAACCAATTGACGGGTAGGTCCATGGATCTTTAGGTCGATGGTCTCGGAGCTATCATCAACTTCTAGTTTTATGCGCTTTCCTTTCACGGTCTCGATAGAAATATGCATTGCACCAATTCACAACTACAAAATAAATGTTTTAGAATTGAAATCTTCTCTCCTTCTCTTTAGGGTTTTGAAAAAAATGCCTTTTCTATTCCTTGATATATAGAAGACGATGTATATATATATAGAAGAATCTACGAGAATATCTGCAAACTGATACGAAATATATATGGTATATAATATGTTCGATCATATCCTAATAGAGATTCATTTGTTTAATTTATTTCCTTTTTTGACTTTTTAGTTTTTTGGAAAACGTCCGTTTTGACTAAAAAACTATTAAAGTAGAATAAGTTGATATGTATAGTATAGGTATGGAAAAAAAATGTAAAACTCAAACCCTAACGAGAAATTTTAAAACCAAGAAAAATAAGATCAATGTTTATCAACCAAAAATTGATGTAATGCACACACATCAAAAAGAGAAAAACATCTAGATTCTTTATTTTATTTTCTTAGGAAAGGCTTAGATTATTCTTACTCCCTAGCTAGTTACAGTTTGCCTTCAGAGATGCGAACACAAAGCAAAAGTATTACTAGTGGTCTTTAAAAACGTAAGTTTTAGATACCGTCAAGGTCGAGTCATTCTGGATTTTGATCAGCGAAGAAATTCACTATCTCAAGATTACATATTAATTGAGACCTCAACAAATCCAGAGTTTCACCATAGAGATTCGAGTCCATGAAAGATCAAAACAGGAACACAAATATTACAACTTGTATTCTATTTCACTGATGTAACCAATTTTTAAACCGAGAACAACCGATGATTAAAAGAGAGCTAAGAATCACTTGATCTTTTAGTTTAGCCATTGTAGTACATGCTATATCCAATGCTTTAAGATCACACTTCAACAAATTTCTTAAATGATTTTGCCTTAACATAATTAGAGGATAAAAAAATTCAATTCAAAAAAAAAAATTTGAGAGTAAATTAAACGTCCACTTTTTGTTTGGCAGACTCGTTAGCAAAAAAATACTTCTTGATTTCGCGTTTTAAGAACTACTTATGCAATGAATTAGACGATAAAACAAAAACAAAAAACAAATGAAACACCAAGTCTTTTACAACCGATATAAATAAAAGTTTAGCAACCGCAAAGACGCATCACCATGTGAAGGGACGATTCATTCTGAATGTTGCATTCAGCTACGGTCGAATTGTCGTACTGCAGGTGCACTGGAGTGCCTTCTTTCTCGGCGTACTTGGCCTTGACTTCTCTAATAGTATCGTACTCATTCACCTCTATATTGAACGTCTTTCCCGATAGAGTCGTTACAAAAATCGTCATGACTGGCTCCGGAACCGGACCCGGATCCGGATCGAGACGAAGAACCAATTGACGGGTAGGTCCATGAATCTTGAGGTCGATGGTCTCGGAGCTATCATCAACTTCTAGTTTTATGCGCTTTCCTTTCACGGTCTCGATAGAAATATTCATTGCACCAATTCACAAGTGAAAGGTTTAGAGTTGAA